TGGTGCTGTTGCTGGTGCTGATGCGTAATATGATGAGAAGACGAGTAAAGAGCTTGACCTGTAACACCGGTGCCAAAAGTTTCAAAATCAATGTTACCACTGCCGCTACCAGAGACAGACGATGTAGTAGGTTCAGGTGACGCTTGATTATTAGATAAACTGTCACTGTCTCGTTTAACACGCGGTTGCCGCGTAAGTACTCGATTACGTTTTACACCTATTTGGTTTTGTTGTTGCTGTTGCTGCTGCTGCTGATGGGAAGGAACTGAAAGATTGCAGGTTGATTCTGTAGTGAAGGGTTTAACATCGACATCTACAAGTTCTGTAAGAACGAAAACAAAAAAAAAAAAAAAAAAACAAAAAAAATTAATATATATTTTATCAAACATTTGAATGAAGTGATCTAGAAGGGCTGGCTTAAGGGAGACTTAAGGGCTTTTGAGGATATTTTTGTGACATCCCTTACATAGAAAACGAAACCTTTTTTTTATCTTTTTTTAATATATATTTTTCAAATATATTTATACTTTCTTTTACCACATTGAAAATTACAAACTACTAAATGTTTTTTCTTAATATTTTACACGATTTTTTTCCATTTTGTAAAATTTTTCACAAATTTCTATTTCTTCGCTATTTAGTTTTTGTTTTTGTATTTTTTTTTGTATTTTTGTATTTTTTTTTTTTTTTTTCTTTGTTAGTGTAGTATTTTATTTTTTCTTCTTTATATTTCTTTCAGTGTAATACTGTACTTTATTGGTTGTAGTTTTTTTTATTAGGAAACATTTGTATAGTTGATTCTATTTTGTATAAAATTGTTGTTGGTGTTGTAAAATTTTGATATTCATCAGTAAGGATGAAAGATACACACAGCAGCAACGCTACACAGCCATATGCACAATGCGTCAGACCTGTATCAAGCAATTTACGTTTTTATATATTGAGCCTTTAATAATAATTCGATCGAATTGTCTTCTTCTAGCCATTGATTCATCATGTGAAAAGTTGTGATAAATATTTGAAAATTAGATTTCCATTTTTTTAAAAAATATGGATAAGCGAGCATGCGATTAAATTTCTTTAAAAATATTCTTATGTTTATGGAATAAAAAAAGAGTGCATACAACTCCTCTGACATGTTAGTTGAATACCAATTTTCAATTTGTTTTAGACCGAAATTCCTTCACTTCTCTTATTTAGTGCAGAATAGGATTTTTTTTTATTCATTTTTTTATTTTTATATAATAAAGTACGCAGTGTCATGTAATCATGTTTCACTAAAGCCCTTAATAACAATGGTTTCATATATTTATTTACCAAGAGAGAGAGAGAGAGGGAGAGAGAGAGAGAGAGAGAGAGGGAGAGAGAGAGAGAAAGGCATCCTAATTCTGATTGTATATATAGTAAACTTGATATCTACGCGAAGAGCATTATAATCAAAGGAATTCACATTACATTACAGTTGCTAGAGATATTTTGATATATCATCATTCAGATCTTAAAAAATATCGCGTCCGTTGGCAAAGGATTCTCTTAGCTAATAGTCGCTAGCTTGACAAATGATAAATTAGCTTTGCATGAAAGAATTTTGCTGTGAATTTGCGAAGAAGACTCCGATCACGTTTAATTATTCGATTAAAAACGGATACGATCGGATAATAATAATGAATTTCGTTACAAGGATTTCATTATCGTCAATTTCATGCAATATAATGACTAGGGTAAATAAAGCACATGCTATCATTTATTATAGCATTTATGTATACTCGATTAATATCTTCAATATGCTGTTAAGTAAGGCCGTTATACCGTTATCTCTCCGTTAATGATGAATATTAAATATTCGTTCTTGCTAACGAACATTTGAGCCTTTTCTCTTACTTTTTTATTTTATTACATCTTCTTCGTCTTCTTTGTCTTCTTTTTTTTTCTTATGTATTGTATAAGTCTGCATGTACGTGTGTATATAAATAAAGTTATGCTTGTGTATAATAATGTGTTCTTGTATAGTATATTTTGGTTCAATTAAAATATAAACAATTAGTATATTTCTTTCTTTATTATTAATTAGTCGTTTCATAATATTGTTCATAATCATCATCATCATCACCAGCATTATCATTATCATTATCATTATCATCATCATTATCATCATTTACATAGTATAGGATACTAAACCCCAAAGTTATCGCATTCGAAATCCTACCGTAAATAACATTTAATCGCTAATAATAGTATTAATAATAGGAAAAAGGTAAAAATAAATAATAAAAAGTAAAATTTTAAAGCGAAATAGGATATGACTTCTGGTATACATATATTTGCGTGTGTATAAAAAAAATAAACAAAGAAAAAAATAAAAAAAATAAAAAAAATAAAAAAAATAAAAATTAAATCATCTTCTAATATGTTTGTTCAGTTTTTATCCGTATTACAATGGTAAAGTAATTGTTATATTTTTTTTTTTTTTTACTTTTTTTTATTTTTTTTTTATTTGTTTATTTCTCCCGTTAATCATTTATGTAGCAAATAATTAAAACATTTATTTATAATTATATTTCAATATGACAAACAAAAAGTTATACATATGTAATATATATGTATTTCTTTTTGATTCGATTTTTAAAGTGGACCTTTATACAATTATTCTTTTAATTATTTAATCTCCGTTAGCATTACTACGCTGTATTTAAAAACAGTTTACCTTTCTTTATTTATATAATAACACAGATTTATATTTTTCTATATATGTACTCATGTAAATGATTTTTAATTTTCAATGTTTTATTTATTTATTTATATATTATTATTATTATTATTATTATTATTTTTTTTTTTTTTTGGTAGTATATTTTAGTGATTTTTGTGCGTTTTTAAAAAGAAGTTCTTTTAATGGACAGAATTCTTGAAAAATTTGCATTAAAAAAAATATTAAAAAAAAAAAAATCTTTATTTGCCTCAATTAATTGGCAGAGTCGTGAATATCCATGCCACCGAACGAATCAAAAGTTTTTAAATTTATATTGACATTGCGTAGATCCATTGAAGGATTTTTTTTTTTTTTTTTTTTGGATTATCTGGTTAATAAATAAAAGTGAATAAATCCAATTTTTCAAAATTTTATATCGATATTTGCAGACACTTTGCACTTTTTCTCAACTTAATTCGTCGAATTTCCCTCTCAATTTTAATAGAATTTTCTGATTAATATGAATTTCATTTCTCACGAGAGAACTCTGTTACGTCCTCCTTAACTTCTTAGAATTAATATAATTCTATTGTAATTGGGCCGCGTCGTATATAAAAATTATCTAAGAAATGAAAATTACATATCTATTGCAATCAGCTGACTTGGATCGGATGCTTAAGATTGTGATAAGTTGTGAACTGCTATTAAATATTGATTGAAATAAAATATGGCTAATAAGTCAGCTATCATTCTTAGTTGATAATGTAGCAAAGTGTATAAGCCAGATGGGCACTTGCACATTGCGATGATCAATAAAAATGTATTCCTGTACAAATCCTCTGCATAGACGCATCGCATTTCCGCAGCATTGAATCGACGATAAGTATACAGCGGTTACAGCGTATAAACTTTACTTTAAGATCAAATTTCAAGAAGAGCAAACAATAAGTAACCAATTACATATCTCTTTAAAGAAATATTCGATTAGCTCGTTTTAATACGATATAAAAACATAGGTAGAGTAATAGAGAGCGAAACGGATTTAATTGAATTGGTCCATACATATGTTCGCGGCTCTTAATTTATATTAAATTTTTCCTCGAAAATGTAGTTTCGATAAGACAGCGCCGCAATCAAAAATAATCAGTTAATTGCCGCCAAAACTCTTATGAATAATGTACGCTTAAATTGTCTCGCAAACATTAAGTAAATAAGTATAACGACGAGAGCATGTATGTATTTATAGTCTTCATAATACAAGATGTTATAATATTTTTATGACGAGTATACTCGTCAAATCGGCAACTGATAGGTTCATGGAAAATCGTCTATTTTGTAAATTTATTTTCAAACAAAAAATTTGGAATTTTTCTTTTTTTTTTTTTGTCTAAAAATCTCATGCACTTACGCAATTTAAACGGCACAAATCTTATAAAAGGAAGACATGACTAGAAAAAGTTTATAACGTAACGATTTCAGAGTCACCTATCTGATTAACCAACTGTACCGTAGTAAAAGGTAAAAAACGGCAATTGCGGTGAATGAAAGCCCTTCAAATAAATAAATATATATATAAAATATACAATGTGTTTTGTTAATTCTGCGCGTGCGTGAATCTATCAATCAGAATTGCTTTTATACTCAATCTATTGTAGATTCGATAAGCGACTATGTTTTAAAAATTTCGCATATAAATATATATATGCGACAAAGGCACGCACACCTCTTTTTATCCATGACTGCATCCTCGCATCTTAAATATTATAAAAAAAAAAAATAAAAAAATCTCTGAAAACTAGGAAGAAGAGGCATTGTCAATTTTCCAGTTATTAAAGCTAAGCCGCATGATTGTGTATTATTTGTGTTTTTGTAATCATTGCAGATTCGGAGACAAATTAGGTAAGATAATCGAAAAAATACTGCCAATTATAGGACAGAGAGGACAGAATCAACTGGGACCATAATATGCAAACCAACGATAACGATTAGCAATTGTTGTTTTTGACTATTCGCGAATTGAAAGTCAATTTCAATATTTTCGCGACGGTACCGTCGATGCACCGATCATCAAGATTAGAGATTTAAACCCGAATCAAGAGTTGCGTAAAACCGAATATACTACCGAAGGCAACATGATAGCAAGAGGCTAAAAAAAAAAAAAAAAGAAGAAAAACGTAAGAGCATAAGTCTAGTGGATTTTTGATTTTTTAATTACCCGAAAATAATGTTCGTTTCCTCTTTTATACCCATCACCGTTGTTCTATAAAAAGATTGAAAATTGAAAGGATTTGCATATTCTCTACAGCCTTGCAGGGGCGTGGCTGAGTTTTAATATTCTTGTAGAAATTGGAAATTTGCATCTATGGAAATGTGTATCGTGCACAGACGGACATGTGCATGTGAATGCGTTGCGAATTTAAAATTGGTTAAAAATTCATATACTTTATGAAGTTTTTGTAGCTTTTTTCTGCGCTTTTTAAAGGTTTTGAAAACAAGATTAAATTTTGATAGACTATAGGGCATGGCCAATTTTTCCTATTATTGCACAGGTATTAAGACATCGTCTATAGAACACATATGCATTTTCTTCTACGTTTAGAAGTAATGAGGAAAAAACAAAGGTATTCGCAGTTTACGTGGGCGTGGGTGTTGTGGGCGTTTTCTCCGACTAATTTGGAATATTTTCAATACTAATATCCATTTTTTTCTCATAAACTTGAACGTGATAACTTTATTTTTGCGGGCAGAAGAATGTTTAGAATAAACATAACACTACAGAAGGTACGGACATGCTTAAATCGGTTTAGAAGTTGATGGTGATTAAGAGGGGCTCCTGAAGCATCCTTGTCGGCCTAGCCTTGCTTAAATTTTATTTTCCTTTAAAGTAGTAAGATACAAAAATTTTAGAATCGACTAAATCAGGCAAAAGATTCGAAGTTTATGTGATCCAATGTACGATTGATATATCGAATGAATAAATCTTTGCTCTACACAAGTTCGTGTCAATTACAAAAACAATATTCGGCCAAAGCCAAATATAATTTTCTTAATTATTTTTATACCCACCACTGTAAGAAGGGATTATACTCATTTTGTTTTTTTTTTTTTTTTTTTTCATAATGTATGTTACACCCAAAACGAAGCTTCAGAGACCCTATAAAGTATATACATATTCTTGATCAGCGTGAAATTCTAAGCTGATTTAGCCATGTCTGTCCGTTTGCCTGGGTGGTGTGTGTTGTCGGCCCTCTCCTGGTCACAAAAATGAAGATACCGACTTAATATTTGGCAGAAACATTGAGAACATCCGCACGCAGGTTGATATTGAAAATGGACCAAATCTGTCCGGACAGAAGGGCGCAGTGGAGCGTAAACTGAGCGCAACTCAGTTTTTTTCAATAAAATTTTTCGCATTTTTGCTCGTTACTCGGAAATTATTATATTTGGAAAACTGAAATTTTCCACAATTTACTTTACGAAATAGTCGACTCTTTAGGTGCAAAAATGGAAACACTCGACTGACCCCGCCCACTCAAAGTAACGAGTAAGTAAATTTTATTTTTCTCACATTTTTGAGGTTTTATGCTTATTTATCGTAAGGCAAATAACACAAATAACTATTTTGTACATTCCTCAAATCAAGATATGGGAGAAGCCGCAAATAATTTTTTCTTAATAATGCCAGCGATATGGATATCAAATAAAGGGAATTGGAGAATCGAATGCGAGAAGCATAGTGAATATAAATTTCTTACTTCTTTTTTTTTTTATCACTACGAATATATCAGGGCCGAGAATCAATACTCAGTTTAGCATTTTCATTTTGGCAGATTCAAAATGAATTAAGCGAGATGAGTACGTTTGTACATTAAATCAAGACCTTGCGCTGACTTTGTATATATATATATATGTGTATATATACTTTATTATACATATATGTATACTTTAGGAGGGAAATATGAGATAAGAAAATTAGTGTGCCTTTGTCTTTCGCTAATGCGTATAAAAATACAACTCGGAATTAATAAATAAAAAAAAAATAGAAAATTTCAATGATATCGAAATTTTTGCTCTAAACTCTTGAAAACATTACTTTTTTTTTTTTTTTTTTTTGTTTCATTTTTTATTTTCAATCTTCTTCTTTAATTTATGTATATGTTCTTTGTAAATCAATATACAGAAGTTCTAAAATAAATTTTACTTAAAATAAAGATAATAAAATGTAAAGGGGGTGTAATAGACACTGTAGTTTATAAAAAAAAAAAATCAAAAGAAACAAAGAAAAAAAGAGAAGAAAAAAGATTTTTTTTTTTTTTCAAAAAAAGAAAAAGAAACCCAGTTAATAACTGAGATTAAGAGTCTCATGCTCTGCCGGCTGAGCTAGCCGGGCAAACAATCGGCTGCTTCAATTTCAGTTGCTCGCAAAGATATCCATACTGTTTCACCGTCGCCGAATATATCACGCGTAACAAGAAAATAACGTTCCCGGGAGAGGATATGAAACACTTTCGAAAAAAGATGATTTTGGAGATCATTCAACGAGAACTAATGCAATAAAGTCCGTTATAAATGGATGGATCATTTTGCAAGAATTTTTTCAGTAGAACCCTTGCATCACAAGTTTTATCTTTTCTTTTATTTTTAACACGAAGAAAGTTGTTCAAAATTGATAAATATTGGACAATGCTCGTTGAATGATCTCCAAAATCATCGTTATCCGAAAGTGTTTCATATGCTGTCCCGGGAACGTTATTTTCGTGTTGCGCGTTATATATGCGGCGACGGTGCAACAGTATGGATATCTTTGCGAGCCACTGAAAAAACCTTTTTTTTTCTTTTTTTTTTTTCTTTGTTTCCTTTGTTTTTTTTTTTTTTTTATAAACTACAGTGTCTATTACAGGGGCTATGAATTATGGTTAAAAGGTAGATAAATTATAACCAAAAACAATATTCAGGTTTTCATAAAAATGTATCGAAAATAAAATACATTTAAAAAAATAAAGTATTCATTCTCTGAGTAAAGAGTTAACGTTAACTAAAAAGTTATACAAATTATAACGTTTACTTTTCGTAATAATCATTACTAAAATGGCCATACAAATATATAATAAACAATGACAAATAAAAACAAATGAAAAAAAAAAAAAAAAAAAAAAGGAAAAAAAAAAAAACTAGATTAGTATTGATACACACAAATACACACACGCACACACATACGCACTCGCACAAGTAAAATTGTAAACTGTTGGTTTAAAAAACAACAACAACAACAGACATATATATTATATATATATATATATATATATTATATTTTGAAAAAATTGAAAGAACTGAGCGTAATGTTTCAAGCTTCAGCTAAAGAATCTACAGTCAGGTCAATGCGCGGGCAGAAATCGTTGAGCGGATGATGACTGCTTGCAAATAATACGCGAAGTGTAGACACAATGAACAACAGATTATCAAACCTATGCAACAATTTTTTTTTCTGATCGCCGACAAATCTGAAATAAAACCCGATTCAATATCCAGACTCAATTTTTTTTTTTTTTTTTTTTTTTTTTTTTTGAACTACAAACAATGGGCAGTTTTATAGGACAGATTATAATGAAAACCATAAAACGTGGCACTGATAAGTGTATAGTGATAGGTATATGCGAAATAAACCTTAAGTGAAAATGTCTGTACATATGAGGAGCAGAGGAAAGAAGAATTTCGATAGTGTGTGCGAGTTTTCTATTTAATTACTAAATAAAGATTTTTTAAGGTTAATGACTTAAGAAAAAAAAAAAAAAGGCGATCTTTAAATATATAGCGATCTAGTAAAAGAGAGAGTGACGTGAACCAATAAGATGAGTTTACAATTTATGGAGTCGACTTCCTTTTTCCTTTTTCCAATTTTTAATTTTTTTCCTTAGGAAATTTAAAAAGAACTTCCAGCGAAGTTGGTTTGCGTTTAATTTACATATGCTGTTGATGTTTATCTAATATAAATGTCCCTGTATTTTGAGCTAAAAGTTTTGTGGGAGGCCAAGGTAAAAGAATATACTAGAGCGATAGAGTGGTGAAGGATTGAAAAGGAAAGAGTTCACATATTTGATTTGTTGGATATTACAGCGGTGGCTTTTCTTTTACGATTTCGTTATATAAGGATGATCGGCCGAATGTACAACTATCGGTGTTGAAGTGCCATAATTGTGCACATAAATAGTGTGAGAGGCAGGATGGTGAGGGCTATCTATGCCGTGTTGTTGAGTTGCGTTCGTATGTAATAATGTCGGCGGTTGTTCAGTGGTCACTTGGTGTATCGTAGTTGTCGTATCTTGCTGTTGTTGCTGTTGTTGTTGCTGTTGTTCCAAATGGGCTGTTAGTGTGGGCATAGCTGCTGTCGTTACCACTGCCGTTGTCGTTGTATGGGAACTCGTAGACATTGAATTCTATATCGAATTGAAGTTAATACTCTGTAAATTCATGGCAGCGGCAGGATTTACATTGATAGTGCCCGCGCCGGGACCCCCACTCGCGCCTGTGGCATCAATGTATCGTTGTCTGGACATGGAGTGCAGACTGGGAGGAAAGTCAATATGTCGCGTGTCGAGAAAACTCATCATTGTGGGATGAGTGCCAGCACTAGCCGTTGTGCCGGCATGGTGAGGTGTGCACATTAACGAAGGTGTCGGCGTATCGGAAGTCGGTGGTATTTGCATATTAAGAGCGGCAGTTTGTGCAGCCGCGACAGCTGCCGCCATATGTTCATAATTTTCATTTGTATCATCGGCAGTGTTAGCGGGCGGGGTAGGTGACGGCGACAAATTCGGTTCTTGTTTGACGACACGCGATTTTATACTCGGTCGAGATACGGGATAGCCCCGTTTCTTATATTCTAACCATAGCGTGCGATTATTGACACCGTACAGTTTTGCAGCCTTACAAAAACCGATACCACCCGAACGCACTGCTTCCAAAGCGCGTATGAAATTCTCATCGCCTTGTGGATTAACAGATCGTTTACGTTTCACACTGGCACTGTTATTTGAATTACTTGTAGACATGTTATTGGAACTACTACCCGCAGACGCGTTACCTACCGGCGATTGAGTGGGCGTAGGTCCTTGACTATATACCGTTTGAACCATATTGGCATCATTAGGAGAGGGTGGTGACAGATTTTGAGCGGCAGCTACTGCGGCGGCTGCAGCCGCATTCGAATAACCGCTTACCGTTATTATTTGCGGCGAATAGGCTGAATTCTGTTGATGCTGATATTGCAACTGTTGCAAATGCTGTTGCTGCTGTTGCTGTTGTTGCTGCTGTTGTTGCTGCTGTTCACTATTTGCACTGCTATTGGCATTTGTATTTTGAGTGTTGCTGCTGTTGTTCCCGCCGTTAGTACCAATTAAATTTGGGGGACAAGATGTCAGCGAAAAGCGTGAATAATTAGAGTCAACGACCGTCCATTGCAAACCTGGGAAGGGGAGAGAGAGATAGAGAAGAGAGAGATTTGATGAAAGAAAGTTTTTGTCATCAATGCAAAAAGAGAGCCATTTTTGCTTTATTTTTTTGTTTTTGTTTCTGTTTCTGTTACTGTTTCTGATTCTTCTACTAATTAATTTCTACTACATTTTTTTTTATACTTCATTAGTTCATTTTCATTGGTACAACAATAGTTAAACTACTATTATTGTTATTACTATTATTTATATATGTTTCTTGCTAAAAATTTTGAATTGAGAAAGAGAGAGGTGAAGAATTCTATAAATTCATTTACAAGAGAGAAAAAAAAAAAAAAAAAAAAAATAGTACGAAAATTCGATCAAAAACTAAAAAATTAAATTTGAAAAAATTGAAATAAATTAAAAACCATTGCTCGGTTATTATGACTCTGTGCTATAGCTCTCTCCTGTTCCCAAGTTTGTATGCTTGTTCTTTTTTTTCGGTTTTTCTTATTTATTTATTTATCCATTTTTTTTTTTTTTTGCGTTGAAACATTTTTCACGTTTGCTTTTCGAAAGGGGTATTTTTTATTACGTATTGATTCATTTTTGTCTTTTGATATTCAAAAACTCTTTTTTGAATCAAAAACACAACACACAATATTACAAAAAAAAAAAAAAAAAAAGAAAAGAAAAAACAAAAATGATAATAAAGTATTTTATGGCAAAAACAAATTTTTTTTGCTTTTTTTTTTTAATTTTACGTAAAAATAAATGCATATATATGTATGTATACAAATTTATATGCGCACGTCGGCGCGTATGTATTACATACATACAATACGATATAAAATTCTAAGGATTAATTTTTGCTTATATTTATGCTAATAACAGGCGAGACATTTGATTGATAGCTACAGAGTTGATAGTATGTACGCATGATTACAACATAATGCCAATCACATGTAATATGTTAAAGCTTTGCAAAGCTCAAATTATTACAAAGATTAAAGTATTTTTAATAGATACCTTAAAAATTTAGATATAAAAAGAAAAAAATACAGATCACATTCAACTTGGACTTGGAGCCAACAGACAAGTTTATGTACAATATTTGAATGCAAGAGAAAAAAAAGAGTGAGAAAGAGTGAGAGAGAGAAGGAGCGAGATACGGTAAAAATTCCATCCAGCCTATGGTATATCTATTATATAGTTTTCAAATCATATCTTTATACAAGTCGACAGGAACTTATAGATGGTCGTACAACAACTCAAAACCATACGTTTTTACAGAAGTCGTCCCCTTTTTTATATACATATATAATATAAAGTCATTTGACAATTTGTTGGCAAATTTCAAGCTTCGAAATTAAGAACTGCTTAAGATCCATCCCAAACCGAAGTAACTTATCAACAAGGAGTTCTTACGTTGTTGGTTCGTCTTGATTGCTGTTCGTGTCGCATACGTATACAGCTTGAATCGTAGCACTTGAGTATGATGTCTCTGTAGAGTTCGTGTGCATATTTGTTTTGCTTTTTTAATACATTTATTATTAGTTCCATATCGCGAAACCCAATTTGGGACTGTGCCTAGATCCATTTTGGATTTTCCCAAATTCTTGCGAGCAACAATGATTGCTGTGCTATATCGTCAGCGTGTACATAAATCTTAGAGCATGTTATTCCACAAATAGAATAGGTCATCATTTTGATCTTTATGGCAATTAATACATATTCGTTTGCTCGTTGTCTTTATTTCTTCATTCAAACTTTTTCATATATGTTGCAAAATTCTTATATATCATATTGTACAAAGATGTAAACGACCGAAATGACGAGTGAATCGAAGTAAAACTACCCATCAAATATTAAATAATCGTAAATGTTAATAAATGTTTCCTATGTGAATTAAAAAAAAATTCCATTAATAAACGAAGTGCCGGACAGACATCAGACAGACTACATCATTATGCAACATATCCTGATTAAGCCATGACATACGTAGCTTTTGAAGAAAAGAAGTGTATTCGATTTTCAGATCGGCGCATATAATTTTATAACAGTTTATTGTGTTCACTTTGAACAAAGCTACCTGCGAAAGGTGAGAAAAAATTAATATACGAATCAACAATTGCGAACACTGGCCGAAATCATGTCAATTGCCATTTTGCATTTGTCGTTAAGCTCCTTTCAATTGTTTTGCAAGTAAATGCAGCCTATTCAGTCGTCTCCGAAGAATTAGTCCTTTTTGTCTTCGGATTCGGAACACAATACAAATTCACAGGAGAATTCAGGAAATTTTCTCCGAAACAAAGAAAAACAAACATTAAAAAACGAATGACATTTAAACGATCAGTTCGAGTTATGATGTTACTTGCGCTATGTTTGTTTCAATGTCCTGCAAAGCAAAGGAAAAATAATTAAGCAATTCATAGATTCTCTCATGGCGACTCTCTCATAGGCTTTATGAAAATCTATCATTGTTACTGTACGTCTTCACACAACGATCGTTAGATTGTAATTGAAATTTTTATTCATTTCGTTTCGTTAGACGTGCATAGCGAATTCAAATCGTAGTTATTGCTTTTGTACCCTACTTCACTCACTTGTGATGCAAGACTTTAAATGAATCCATCTTTTATTATGCGCATGTACCGGGCTTGCGCGCTCGTCTTGCCTAATTTCATTCAATCTATGGGTCGCAAATTTTTAATATATTTCGATTAAATTTGATATATATCGATGGATTTTGATCGAACAACGAACGCTATTGAAAGTGATTTCTTGGCTTCTTTTCAAAAGTCGGCATTAAGTAAAGTAGTCGGAGATATTCAATGGTTATTGTATTTTTGCTTGTTTTAATTGTGCATGCGATAGGCTTAGAGATTAGCGATTGACGTGCGGTATCGATTGGATTTTACGGAGAGAGAGAAAGAGAAGGGGAAAGAGAAAGAAACAAAGAGAGTGAGAGAGAGTGAGAGAGAGAGAGAGAGAGATTTCATTCACCTACTCTGACGCTGATCAAGGACACACGCATATATATATAGTTTATGAGCTCACTCGCACCTATTTTGTGCGGGTTTACATAAATCCAAGGAAAAAAAAATCTACTATAATATATCCCATCATCCGATAATTGAATGATGGGTATCTTTACTAACCAGGATATTTTTGAAAAGAATAAAAGCCCTTAACCATTCATTTATTGATATTGTAATTATAATATTATTATTATAATTCAATTTATATATGTATGATTATATTTTAACAACACTCAATGGTTGATTAAGTGACGAAAAGCTAAAGCTAACTATAAACATGTGGAAAAATTTTGCGGCCGTTCTTTTTTCCATTTCTTAGCGTTCCTCCTTTCAACATATCAAGCTGCTGCTATACAGTCTTCGTCGATATATATGACATAAATATTGAATTTACACAAAAAATATGGTATACATTCTAATGAACAAAATTAATTTCATTTCACATCGAATAAATTCAGCCATCTCTAGAGCATTGTGCTACAATATCTCTCTCTCTCTCTATCATTCTCATCAATAAGTCCAACCGAGCTTTCCATGACTTTATTGAATACAAACTGTTCTGTTTTTTGCGGCTAATTCGAAAATTCAGGTTTGATTATTTTTTTAAGAATTATTTCCTCATACTATCTATCATCATTGGACCTTGCATAAATTATTCAAAATTTTACAAGAGTTAAACGAATAACTTCACATTCGGCAACAAGGACAGTGAGGGGACGGCCGAGCTTTTATTGTTCACACCTTTCAGTCCCCTACGAATAACTACTTCCGCCCCATATCTTTTGTTTGTTTTTTTGTTTAGTTAATTTACCCAGTGAGCGCTTGTTTAGGAATAAAAATGTTAAACCAGTTATCCATAAATTTCAAAAAAAATGCATACCATATTTTCGGACAGTTGTTTTCATATAAAATAAATTATTTTAATGCTTTCATAATTATATTTCGAATACTATACAGTCCATTGCAATGGCTTTATCGCAGACTTTATGTGTAACAACAGCTGGTCTAGATTAACATTTTCTAGACAGTCCTAATTTTTTTTCATCTATATCATCGGATTCAACTAATCTTTCTTTATTTATGTTTGATTTTACTTATAATTTAAAATTATTGGCCAAATATGTACAAGTAAGAATGCACATTGACTCAACTTGAAGAGCATGATACGGCAATTAATAAGTACTCTTTCCAAAGAAGTACAACAATTAGATCATGCATCATTCTTGCCTTTACTTCGCTCACCATTTCTTAACAAAAATCTTTTATTCCATTCCAAGAAACCACTATTTGAAACCATTATTGAATGGGCATTTGTATTGGCAAGGGCTGAATCATCGTGTACATGGCAACAAAATATGTTGAAATTGACTCACCCAGATGGATCTGT